CCTATCATGCAAGACAAAATAGGCTGAGGACTTAGAATGCACTATTATGTATGGATTCAGATGGTTGGTGTGTTGCTGCCACAAATCACATCATATCATGGAAGCACAGCAGGGAGGCTGGGCTCCAACTTGCTTAGAAAGAGAGGGCATAAGCACTGGTCTTGGCATTGTCAGGGCACAGTAAAAGGATATTGAGAGGCTTGCTGGGGAGTAAAAGGAGGCAGAGTGAGTGGGGACACATGGGACTGTGGGTGGGATCGGAAGGCTCGGAGGGGTGAGTCTCAAAGCCTGCCCTCAGCCAAGTGTAACGCAAGGAAGGAAATGACATACCTTGTGCATACATCCTTCTCCTTCTCCATTCTGTTGGTTTCACGCTTTCAATACAGAAGGTAAGCACCTCCTCCACATTCACACCACAGCAGATATAACTGTTGGGTGCCAGAGTGCATTACACTACTTCTTTCCCTTGGTCATGCATATTCTGTGGAATTTAAAAACTCCACCAGCTGAACTAGTTGGGTTGCAGGAATTTATTCTAGTGAAAATAAAAGCTAAACAAAGCTTTCACAGGTCTGTGTTTCAAAATAATGCCTAAAGCGTAGGAAATCCACTGACAAAGCTCTGTTAAAATAGAATGAATACATCTGTCCCCTGTGTGTATTCATAATGCTGTTGGTCTGCTTTGGTGACAGATATTTTACTACCTGTCGTCCCTGCAGAAACAACCCAGCTATAATGATATGAACAAGAGTCTCTTCTGGCTTTGTGCATAATCAAAGTTCCAATTGCAGAGTCTCCTGTGCACAACTCCATTGTTTTCAAATTATATGCTCAGTTACCTTTGTGCAAATCCCAGTTGAAGGCAGATATAACGGAGGGCAGCATGTGGCCTGCCAGAATTACTAGCAATGATGTATAAACCAGTGAGTGGGCTGGAGGAAAAATATTTTACTTGTGGAGTAAATTTGATCTGCAATTGTTAGAACACCACAAATTCGGAATTCCATAATGTCTTATTTTTTAACAAAGTCATTTTGAGTAGAATGAAATTTCAAAGTTACAAATATATACCAGTTAAATGTCCATAAAATGTTATTTCCAAAAGCAATTGTTCAAAAGCTAAGAAATTTGGAGCCAAGATTCTGCAAACTATGTAGGAACATAAAATTGCCAGACCAAATCAGACATGCAATTTGCCTAGTCCAGTATTTTATATCCAACCATTGCCAGTAGTAAGTACCAAATGCTTTGGAGGAAGATGCAAGAAACCACCTACCAGATAATTCTGGAATGACCAGTTCATAGAAGTTTCTAGCCCCTCTCAGAGGTTTGCTTATGCCCTGAAGCATGGGAGTTATCCCTCCTATTTTTTTAATAATCTCTAACGTATCTGTGGTTGTTCTATCCATATGAATATCTAACTTTTAAAAATCCTTCTAAGCACATGGCCTCAATGATATATTGTGGCAGTGAATTTCACCAAGTTATTTTTTTACACCATGTATAATTTCCTTCTCTATTTTAAATTGGTGGTTTTTCAATATAATTGAATGTCATCTTGTCCTGAGATGAAAAAAGTGGCACCCATTTTAATTCGTCTACACCATTTATAGTTCTGTATCTCTCATGTGTCTCATATGTTTTGAGAGAAGACAAACAATCCTAGTGTTTTCAGTCTTTCATCATCTTCTAAACATTTTCATTGTATCTCTAAACCCCCACTATTTCAGTTATGGTTTTTGTTTTGTTTTTGTTTTTGTTTTTCGTTGTTTGTTGTGGGGTTTTTTTTTTTTGGATCGAGTGACCAGAACTAAATACAGTATTCTGAAAGAGGGCATACCATTGATTTACATGATGTTACAATGTCAGTGTTACTTTCCAGACTATTCTTTATGCAGCCTAATATTTGTCTTTTTTTTTGATTATGCAGCATGCAGAGCAGAGATTTGCATTGAGCATTCCACAGTGAAGTGGAAGTCCTCTTTCTGACCAGTTAATTTAAAATGCTGTAATGTGTTCCTTCCTGTGTGTACTACCTTTGTATTTCTCAACACAGAATTGAAGCTGCCACTGTGCTGCCCACTCACACAGGTTTGTTAGGTCCCTCTGAAGTTCCCTAGTTTTCTCTAGTTTTGATTAACCTAAGAAAATGTCATCTGCAAACTTTGTCACCTCCCTGTTCACCCCCTTTTCCAGTTGATTGATATTCAATTCATATCAAAGAATCTCTCTCCTTGTGTAGATCCATGGGACATCCTACTCTTAACCTTTTGCTGTATTATTTACCATTTATTCCTACTTTGTTTTGTCTGTTGGCCAGTTTCTCATTTGTGCTGGTACTTTATTTTTCACTCCATAACTGCTTAATTTTTCTAATAGCGTCTTGTGAGAAACTTTGCACAAGGATTGTCTTAAGTCTAAATAAATTGCTAGGCAGTTCTTTCTCCATTATCTTGTGGACATACTCAGAGAATTTTAATGCATCAAAAAGGGCTGATTTTTTTTTCTTTAGAGAAATGGTCCCTTATCATACCATGCATCGCTAGGTATTTCATAATTCTATTTTAAATTACAATTTCAAACAATTTTCCTGGTACCTGAAACTTAATGGTCATAGGTCACTCCTGATGTCTTGTAAGCTTCCAACATTTGCTACCTTTGACACTTCAGATTTCATTCTTAAATTCTTTCAGGACGTTCAGGTCCTAGTGACTTGCTGCTCTTTAGTTTATGAATTTGTATAAATTCCTCCTCTTTTTCTGACGGTCACTCATCTTTATTACCTGAAAGGATTAGGTCTAAGAAAGAGATCTCCCCAGCATTCCTTTGGTTAAAAATAATCATTTTGCTTCTATGAAATGTTCTTATCCTTCCTTTAATTGCTCATTTTACTCCTCCTCTCTCTCAGGCTTCCTGCTTCTCATATATTTAAAGACTTTCTTTTGTCTTTATTTGCTCTTCAAATTCCTACTTTTCTCTCCTAATTTCCATTTTATATTTTACCTGCCATAATTTGCTCCTTTCTATTGGCCTCTATAGGAGTGAATTTGCATTTTATAAAAAATGTCAGTTTAGCTTAACTCTGATCCTATATAAATATCTGTCCTATCTATCCAGTTCTTCTCTCCAAATTACTGTGCACTGATTTCCAAGACCATAAACCCTCCCCCCATTTTCTGTACATACAGATTTCAGATTTCATATTGGCAACAGACCTTTCCCAATCCAGCTGAACGTATATCGAAAAACATACTAAAATCTCTCCTTTTGTTTCTGTATTGCATATGAATACCTTCTTCCATGTGCCATTACACTGTGCCAGAGAATTTCACTGCACAATAAAAAGTAGAAACTCTATTATATCTACCTCCTTCATCCACTCCATAGGTCTTTAAGACCCCAAACTCCATAATGGATGGAAGTTATGCTTGTTTGCAAAACTACAGTGCTGAATTTCCTGGCTTTTAAGCATTTTTTAAAAATAACTACAATGTTTTGATGATGTTTTAAATAGTCACTAAATAAAGTTTAAATAAGTTGTAAATATGTATTAATCTTAAACATGTTTTGTTTGGGAATATATGTTTACTGAACATCACTTCTTGCTTATAGCTCATTGATCTTTTACAGTGCATCTGTGGTCTTGTTTAGGAGTACTCGTCTACCCAGACAATAATGTTGCTTCTCTTGTCCCTGTAAAATGTCATCTTTGGATACTCAGACAGTGCCTTGTATAAGTGATTTTTTTTTTTTGTCACTGCTTGAGAGTATTGAGGTACAAATTGGGGGTACCTGCTATTTTTTCAAAGAACTACCAAAGCAGGTTACCCTTACTTCGTGTATTAATGCTCTTCTCCCCTACCCCCAGTTTCAAACAGTGGATCACAGGTGTCTTTTTTGGGTATCATTCAGTTGATTTTATCTGTCATCTGACAATGGTGTCTACAAGCCTATATCAAGTATTGCAGTGTGGCTTGCTTACTTCACATGGTGTGTAAGGTTGCAAGATGTGTGTGTGTTGGTGTTTATATAGAGAGCCCTGCAAATCTGTGGATACCCGCTTTATATCTGTGCATGTGGATATCCACGGACCATTTTTGCAGATCGGAGATCTGATGCAGATACAAATTTTGTATCCATGAAGGGCTCTATTTATATATAATACATTTATGTGTGGTTTTTATATAAGGGCGAAATATTCTGCTGCCCGTGCAGGAAATTCTAGCTGAGGGAGGTAATTGAATGATGATTGATTAGATGTAGTGTTTGGGTGCTCTGATTTCCTTGCCTAAGAAATGGTTTAAAATACACACTGGAATTGTGGAGAAAAATATAAGTTAAACAGAAAACTTCGTTAGTGTCCCTTGTATCTTCTGTCATGAGAGCCAGAGGAAATGTCTTCCTTAAGCTATCACTGGAACAGCATTTGTTTGAAGGCTCGCTTAGGCTTTTTCTTCTGGTGGCTACAGTATGTGGCGGTATGCATATGGACAAGTCTTTTTTTAATACAAAAGTTATTTTTCACAAAATATACTCTGTTTTTACAGTACCCTCCATTCCCGGATCCCAAAGTCCTTTAAAAATGTTAAAGATGTTGTGAGATAGATAAGTATTTTTATTCCCAGTTTACATATAGGGAAGCTGAAGTAGAAGGATGAAGTGCTTGGCCAAGACTACACAGGAAGTCCATAACAGAGCTAGGTACAGAATCCAGATCTCCTAACTATTGCTTATTTGCTTTAGCCATTAAACCATCCTTCCTCTCTCGGAAGCTCTTATTTTGTTATGCACACAGGCATTCTGGAAATTGTGCTATAGAATGATACCACTATAAGAGGAATGAAGGTGTGCATTCATTGTTTAGAATCTAGATGGTCTGTTCTGGACCAGTCACTGAAATAAAGTGGCCACACTGAGTTGTGATATGTGGAAAAAGAACACATTAGGGTGACATGCACTTTGCTTCACCAATTTCTGACCTGCAATGCTTGCCTTTGCAGATGGAACATGAGGATTTTGTAATGGAAGGGCATGGCAAGACTCCACCTCCTGGTGAAGAAAACAAACAGTGAGTCTCACGTTTATTTAAAAAGGGCCTTACCATAGTAAATGGTGGGAACCACTCTTGTTTAAACGTGCTGGAAGCATTGGTTGTTCTTGGGGTGCTCGCCCTTGGTTTCTTAAATACACGTATTTCATAGTAGCTAGTGACTGAAAAGTCAGTGTGCTGATTTGCCTTAAATTCTGAAACACAAAATTCTGCTTTGTATATTCTGCAGTGGGCTAATCAGAATTTGTAGTTAAAGGATTAATGGCGTTAGGAAGCTAGAGCTGAGAAAGTGAACTCACTTTACCAGTGGAAATGTGTATATGAAGCTTTACATGTTCCTTGTCTGGTGAAACCACTGTGAAATGCACCAAAAGAAGAGTTTGCTCATTGTCAACCCTTGGTGTGCATCTGGTAGATTGGTGTTCCCTGAAATGTGAATGTTACTTTGTTTAAAATAAATTTCCAGAAAGGAACTGGAATTGTAAATGAAATGTCCTTTACTGGATGGACCATTTTAGATCCTGGCCTTTTATGGTTTGAGGAAAGAGGAAATGTAATAAAACAAAGTGACTAATTTCTATTAAGAAAGTGCATGGAGAAAATGTGTGTTTAAGTACTTTTTGGTGGAAATCTAGAAACCTTTCTTTGGCTGGGGGAGGGCAAAGCCCTCTGCTAATGGTACTGTAATAATGGATGTCCTATGTATATCCTAGATAATTTCTTTGCTCGAGCCAGTGCCAACATTGTTGTGATTATTCTTTTCTTGACTTCTCTCTTTGTAGAGGGTAGGAAGATCTTGGATCTTTGGCAGAGCCAGACCATAGAAACTTTTTTTTAACATACAATTCCAGTGTCACTTGGTCATTTAAAGGAAGAGAGTGATCTTACCCATCCCTAAAACACTGCCTTCTAGCTAATGCGGGGAACCGTGCTGTTTCATTGGTTCTGGTCTTAAGCTTTTAGTAGGCTAGCAACACAGGCTGCTACCTCTGTGGCTGAAGTTGTTTCTTAGATAGATAGCTAAGATGAACTCAGGGAGGTTCTAGTACTGAGCAGATGCATTCTTTTCCATAGTGGAAATGAGCCAAGCTTTTCAAAATACTTGTCATTTCTTTCTGTTCATACTAGTATCATAGTAAATTGAAGAAGAGTTGCAAACTTGTGGTAATTGAAACATGCAGAAAATTTTTGAAATGAAGCAGATAATGTAAAAAAGTGGAAGTTAACTTTCTGCCTTAATAAAATTTCTCAGAGACTTAATGGGGAAACAGTATGTGATTGCAGAGAATAACATGGAGAGGTATTATGCTGGCCTCATCAAAATAGTGTGCTCTGCCTTTTGTTGCTGCCTTTGTTTACTGTGAATAAAATCAAGAATTCTTTCACAGCTGACCTGATTTCTAGCTGCAGCTTTTCAGGTGACTTACAACATTGTATTTTACCTTCCCAGAACTATTTTGACTGGAGAGAACATTCAAAACTGGCAGTGGGCAGAGTTCGTCACCAAATTACTTGTATTACTGTACAGTGGTGTCCAGAGGTCCCTGTCAGGATCAAGGACCCTTTGTGCTAGATGTTATACAAATACAGAGTAAAATGCTAGAGCTTACCATAAAGATCTCTGTCCTAATTAGGTTACTAATAAAATTTGTACAAGTGTAAAACTACAATTTTGATACCTCAGCTAAAAAACAAGGATAGTCACATTATTCAGCTGTAGTATAAACACAATACTTCGTTGAGGATATTGCTGGTCATCTGGATTTCTTTTTACCCACCATCTTAATTTTTCATCTACCTAAGTGAATATACTATAGGTTAGTTAAAAAAAAAAAAAAAAGTTTGGCTCTTGTTGCTTATGCTTCATTGACCTGGCAATTGGAATTAAAAATTGATGATAGTTGCAAGACATTTTGTGGGTCCAATAATCCAATTGGTTGTAAGTCACCAATAACTTTTACTTTTATAGTAGTTCAAAATGTTGTCCCAGTTTCAACTATGTTCACATCTTCAATGAATATTTTATTCTATAACCACTTCTTTGGAGCTATTAGTACTTGGATGAGGCATAGGTAGACTTTACTGTTGTCCTCCCAGTTAATATCAACTGAAATTGGGGCTAGTTACTGAAGAGAGGTAGATTGCATTTTGGTATATAAGGGACTTAAATGTAGATGTGTAATAGGCAAATAGATTGTTAGTGGATAAAGGGAGAATGGGAATAGAAACATGCACTTATTTAGAGACCTATCAATAGGTGTAGTACTTGCATGGTATTGGTTAGCATGTGACATTTCCTTCATTAGCAATTACTGTGTACATAATGGTGTATATTAGCAGGCATTTGTAACTGTCAGTTGGCCTGAAGACTTTATTTCTGTAGTGGGGTTGAATCTCAGTTTATTTTACCAGGGGATAGAAACACCTTCACTAGAGTGCCTAGTGGAAGAGTCTAGTATTAAAAGAACACTGTCAAGATTGTTGAGGCATAGGACTGACCTACCTTGAACTGTGATTCCATCTGGAAGGGTCCTGATTTCATTAACTGAACCGTCTGTCTCGGTCTGTGTGTCTCTCAAAAAAAATATTTTTTTCTAACCAATCTATGCTGCATCTGGAAATTTTAGAAAACAAATGGCAATGCCATGCACAGATTTTGTAACTATTAGGAAATAGGGGGTGATAGTACTTATTGCCGATGTGCTTTTGAAATATCAAACAGGATAAAAAAGACTGAACCTATTATACAGTTACTGCATTAAAGAAAAGCTGTAATGGAAGGTGTATAATACATAAGTACATTGAAAAGGCTGTTACAGTTCTTATGGGGTAGAGCAGGTGTTCTCAAACTGGGGGTCAGGACCCCTCAGGGGGTTACGAGGTTATTACACGCGGGGTCGCAAGCTGTCCGCCTCCACCCCAAACCCCGCTTTGCCTCCAGCATTTATAATGGTGTTAGATGTATTAAAACCTGTTTTTAATTTATAAGGGGGGGTCACACTCAGAGGCTTGCTGTATGAAAGGGGTCACCAGTACAAAAGTTTGAGAACCACGGGGGTAGAGTGAGGGAACTTGCTAGTTAAACTGTTTGACCTTGGTTATTGAATATAAATAAAAAGTGCTTCTCTTAGAAATCTGCCACTAGCAGTTCAGACAATAGATGTGACTGATATTAATTGAAATAAATTTTTAAAGAGAAAACTAGGACTTCTAAAATCATTGGCTTAAATGAAATATTTGGTTATTGAGCTCAGTCTCAGCCTCTATAATTGAAAACTGACCCCTGCGGGTGGTGGTAATCATCTTTTTGCTCATGTATTGACATCCATTGGTAAGAAACTGAGCTCAACTGGTGCACTCAAGGAATGGGGAAGAGACTTGTGTTCTTCAATAAATGTTCACTTGTAATTCAAATCTGCTAATCGCTTCCCATTGTTATTTCTCATCTCTTCCCGCGCCCCCACACAGTCTGTAATATCAGGCATTCGCCCTCTCCCTGCTGGTTGGTGGCAGAGCAAAGATTGTCAGCCAGTCTGGAGCCAGGGCTGCCTGTCTGTGGAGAATACCAGAATTCTCTGCCTCCATTCCTGGGCAGGTTGTAGACCAGGAGTCATCTCTTTCTGTAGTGGAGACTTTTTTTGGGATAGAATTAAAAAAATCTGAATTTGACTAGGGCTGTCAAGTGATTAAAAAAATTAATTGTGCAATTAAGCAATATTAGAATACCATTTATTTAAATATTTTTGGAATATTTTCTACATTTTCAAATATATTGATTTCAGTTACAATACAGAATACAAAGTGTACAGTGCTCACTTTATATTTATTTTTGATTACAAATATTTGCACTGTAAAAAAACAGTATTTTTCAATTCACCTAATACAAGTACTGTAGTGCAATCTCTTTATCATGAAAATTGAACTTACAAATGTTGAATTATGTTCCAAAAACCCCTGCATTCAAAAATAAAACAATGTAAAACTTTAGAGCCTACAATTCCAATCAGTCCTACTTCTTGTTCAGCCAATTGCTCAGACAAACAAGTTTGTTTAAATTTTGAAGAAGATAATGCCTGCTTCTTGTTTACAATGTCACCTGAAAATGAGAACAGGCGTTTGCATGGTACTGTTGTAGCCAGCGTTGCAAGATATTTACATGCCAGATGCGCTAAAGATTCATATATCCCTTGATGCTTCAACCACCATTCCAGAGGACATGCGTCCATGCTGATGATGGGTTCTGCTCGATAACGTTCCAAAGCAGTGCAGACTGATGTATGTTCATTTTCAGCATCTGAGTCAGATGCCACCAGCAGAAGATTGATTTTCTTTTTTGATGGTTTGGGTTCTGTACTTTCCGCATCAGAGTGTTGCTCTTTTAGGACTTCTGGAAACATGCTCCACACCTCGTCCCTCTCAGATTTTGGACAGCACTTCAGATTCTTAAACCTTGGGTCAAGTGCTGTATCGTGGAGTAGGGTGGGGTCTGATTATTACCAGAACAGAGCTGTTTTCCCCCTTTTTTTATCTTGACTCATGGCTGGTAAGGAGAGAAAAAAGAACGACAAATGTCCTCCAAGTCCTGCTTTTTATCCAGGGGCAGTAAGACCAAAGTGTCCCAGCAGCAGAGAGGAGCATGCAGACATACCAAAGGGCAATCTGAAGGTGCCAGAGCAGGCCAGGTCCCCCTGTAGCCTTCCAGACATGGGACCTAACTCCCGTGGCTGGTGTGAAGGCTTAGACTGGGTATTGGGCCACTGAGGGCCTCCAGCCCAGGGGGAATGCAAGAGGCTTTTTAAGCGGATCCCATAATGGCACCTTAGTTTTCCAAGGGAGCAGCAGCAGCAGTAGCCGACATCACTGCAGCTATGCAGCAGCCTTGTCCCACTCTTAGCCAATGGGCGGTTTATTTCAGAGGGTAAGTGACCATCCTCCCCCACTAGTAGATCCATGGGGATCATCATCCCCTCAACCTCAGGGATGCCCCCTGAAATAATTATGTGGCTCTACTTCAGTCT